CCCAAGAGTGATTGGCAGAGAACCTCTCCATCCACATCAACTAAATACTGCAATTTTTGGAGTCGTGGCGCCAGAGGGCCGTATTTTTACGAAAACGAAGCCGCTGTAGTCAATGGATTCTAATACCGAAATAAGCTAACTGAATTTTTTAGTCTACGATTGAAGAACTGAATCTGGAAGACGTTTATTTTCAGCAGAATGGGGTTACGTGCCATACAAGCCGTGAAACGACGCTTTATTGCTTGAACAGTTTCCTGGACATATCATTTCGCATCACGAGGACTTCAATTAACCTCCTAAATTATGTGACTTGACATTGCTATATTTCTTTCTGTGAGATTATGTGAAGGGGAAGATGTACGATAAACTAAAGAAACGATTGAAGTGCTCAAACATAATATCCGACCTGTAATTGGCGAAATACGTCCGCAATTAGATATGCGAAGAAGTTTTGAAAAGTTTCCTAAAAATAATTAGAATTTGCAGCAGAAGCGGCCATTTGGCAGATATAGTCTTCCATGTTTAATCGCGTCTGCACTTTGTTGTCACTCATTATAATTACACGGTATATTTCATCTAATAAATGACATTGCCTTATCAGAATGAACCCCATGAAGGACATATCCTGTAACCTATGGATTTATTGTTACAAAAATCTTCCGTAAAAAAAAACTGATTTATCCCGTACCTAGTTGACATGAGATAATATTTAATGTAAATTAATATAAATTGTGTAAAAAGTGCATCCTTTTAGTACTGAAAATTGTAGAAGAAAAAAAAAAGGAAATAAAATGTATACTCAATATGATTATTCGCTCAATAATCATTGCCTATGCAATGTGCTGCCATTATTATATTTATTTCCTAGATATTTATAACTAATTATATCAATACGTATTAAGACAATTTAGAAGAATTTTAGTAGTTCTTTCAAGGATTCATATTTGTAAGTAGAAACTAAATTGTTGGTACATAAAAAATACAATTTCTTACTTCTAATTATTACTATAGTTGTTATGTATTTATGAAGGGAAATAATTAATCTATAGAGTAATTAAGTTTTGTCTTTCCTAGAACGATTTAAGTGAAATTATGTTTATACCTAGATTATTATTTTCTACTGAAATATTACCATACACGCAGGGCTTTCATTAATTTTCGAAAGCGTAATAGAATACGTTTACTTCATTTTCATAAATAACTTAGCTTGACCTAAGATGTGTAATGTCAAATCGAAATTTTGCAAATGTACCCCTGTAAAATATTTATGTAATATTTATATAAGTATTGCTAGTGGAAGTACAGTCCCATATCTTTTACACACAACTACTCACAACTATTAGATTTAAAGAACAAGAGTGTTATTGAAGTTGCCCACGGTTTCCGAGGAAGTTAGTCTGTCTTTGATCAGTAGGCAACGCTGTCGGTACCGTCAGATCTACAGTCACTAGATATATTATCTAGTGACTGTATGTCAGATCTAAAAAAGCGTGCATCAAAAAGAGATAACAAATATAAGAATTAATAATGATAAATGCGTAATTTGACAGACCTGAGGGTGTTGATCCCAATGCATCTTGGATTCTGACGGTTTACAAACGTCAAAATTTGAAAGCAAGCGTCAGTCCTTTTGACTTTTGACAGAGATGGTAATTATTAGCAACCATTAGCGACTCAGAATATTAAGCTCCTTGTTCGATTTGATAAAACTGAGGTGTTGATAACTCAAGGCTGTTCTCCCTTTTCCTTGAAGTTATACTTCATTTTTGGTGTTTTAAATCCCAGAAAAATACTTGAGGTTATGCTGTCATGCTGTCATGATTATGCCAGTTGTCATCACAAATTACGTACTACTTCTCTTGTATATACTTTGTATTTTAGAACAGAACAGTGGTAGCAGAAATTGTTAAGCAAAGAGCAAAATCATTCTAACCTAAGCTCACCGTCTCACCAAAGAAATGATATCATTTCACCAGCAATTATGCGACAAGACAAAAATATTTGTTCATTTTGACAGGACGGCGACGGGACTGTTGCACCTAGCAGCTAAAAACTTTTCACCCTGGTAAAAATCCGGATAAAATTGTATTACCCGGACAAATCGTACTCCCTGTTGAATGACGTCATAGGAAATCTTGCCTGATGAATACGAACGATTTCCGCCGGTTTAAATTGTTGTTTCAAATTTATTTATTAGTTACACTTTACGTGTATAGCTGTAGATATTATGTATAATATAGTTTTAGATATGTAAAGTATCAACAGTGAAAACATTTTCTCAAGAATCAGACATATACATATACTATTAATTTAAAATAAAATTTTGTATTTGTCAAACACAAAAATATATAAAGTGTAACTACAACATACAAAGAATAAACTTTTAACAAAACAAAAATCTCAAGAGTTAAAGGTAACAACTAAACACTTCTGTGTAAAAGATAAATATTCGTTCCGTCGTTCTTCGTTTTATTAATAAGTATCACTTTTTAACACACATTTCAGCAAATGAGTCAGCAATACTCTTTAATGCATTTGTAGCTTCTGATTACTTCTCCATCGTTTCGTTGTGTCGCTTTTCGCTTAGTTTCTCTCTTTTTTGTAATTCTGTTCTGATGATTTCCAAATTCTTGGCATATTATTCATTGGAAGAAAATGCAGTCGCGATAGGAGTTACATTTATCGGAATTTTTTATAAAAAATAAATCAACTGCAATATATCATCTCTAATCCTGGAAATGTATCTCTTCCTGAAACCAATGAGGTATCGAGAGAAATAGTACTACTTTGTTGATTCATATCACATGCAGCTCGATTCTCTTCAAAACTAGGGTTCGTATTACCCCCTTAACCTTGTAAATTAAAATGTTGTTCAATATTGTTTTTAGGCTATATTTACCAGCTGTTCATCTAAAAACAAAAAAATCTGCCTATCATGCATTAATAAAATACCTATTCAACATTTACCTTTCTACAAAGGTAAACAGTTGTGAATTATCAATTAGTTCAGTTTCCATTTTGAATACAAATCGAATCACCATCAACAACTGTCACAATTTAAATTTCTACATTCTGCCATATCCACCATTTATGCGCATGTCGTGTGAAGAACACCGCAGTTTTAACTAGAGTGAAAAGTTGTCAAAATTTGTTATCCATAGAAAACCGGACATCTAGGTTATGTCATACAAATCGTCTGGTACAAAACGGTTTTTCAGTCAAATCAACTTATATGACCCCTAAATTTGACTCCAGACCATAAATCATGACCAAGGTAGTTTGTATAGAATTTGCCACAAAAATCAATCAACCTTTGCCATAATAATTCAGTCGGAAAGCTGCTTCGATCTTCAGAGAGGCTCTAAGGGTCAATCTGACCTAAGATCAAATATACATCTCTCTTTCAATTTCTGGATAAAACAAATGGGATATCTATTTGAAATTCCGAAGTTGACCTCCAAATGACCCCTAAGTGTAACCTCTGAGTCAAAACTAAGGTCATTATCGTACGACCCTTTTAAAACTTTATAATTTTTGTTCTGGAAGTTTTTCAATTGGAAGTCATCCTGCAGTTATTCGGGGTGGTCGATTAAAATGGGACATATTTGACCTTCAAAGGGCCCCTATGGGTCAATATGACCCAATAACAAATATACGTTTCTGAACGTAGAATTTGTTGCTCTCTCCATTTTTGGATAAAAAATAGGATTTCCATTTGAAATTCCGAAATTAACCTCCAAATGACCCTTAAGTTAAGTCTGGGTTAAAACTAAGATGAAAAAACTTTTGGCCTTGATGTTTTTCAATTGGAGGTCATCCTGAAAAGTTATTTGGGGTGATCGATTAAAATGGGACACCGTGTATAGGATACGAAGGTCCGACTAATTGTGGCGCGATAAAACACTCAATTATCACCCTAGAGAAAAAACAAAGACACCAAATTGTTCGTACAAACACCCCCTACAAGTTTTATAATATACATGTTTTCGATAAGTATTAAGAAAAAAGAAAAACCCGAAAAAACAGATCGAATCTTTGAATTTTTATCAATTTTGTTCGATATCTCAACAACTAACAATAATAGGTGAAAAGTTTATAGAATCTAAATTGCAGGTCGTCGAAAGAGGAAAAAAACAATAAAACAATAATTCTGTATCTCGACGGGGAACCGAGTTATAGCAAAAAACAAAAATTCTCCCCTTTTTCCAAGATGGCGGAAAATGCACATAGGAAATCTTGGTCTCAAATCTCAAGTTAAGCTTTTCTAAGCACCCCCCATAACATATAAAAAATTTCGCTTTCCCGGTTCACTTTCTTTTCTTCGCCTTATTTTTGGACATAATGACTGGAGTAGTAGGCAAGTGTCGAAGTGTCAATCTTAATTTGACTTATCTACTAGCGTAAACTATAAAACTAATGCTAACAAAACTAGCCCTGTATATCTAGTGTAACGCAATTCAAATGGTAGTCAATGTAATTTAACAGCTGCTATAATGTATAAGATTTTACATATATACAATTAAAGTTTCTGATTGTTAGTTTAATATCAACCATAAAAAATAATTTCAATTAATATTTAATTTTAGTTATTTTAGGCGGCTATACCTACTTCTTCTGTTCAAGATCACTTTCTAAAATCTTTATGATGACAATTAGATTTCTCTTGAAGAACATATGTATGGACAATTTATTTTAATGATATTAATTTATGATTAACTGTTCAAAGTAAATTGTTCAATGTCGGTTAATAATATTGTAGGTGCCTTCTTATTTAAACCGTTGAATTTAAAAATATAAAAATATTAATAATAATCTTCTGAGACTATTGTTGTTACATTTCTATTGTGATATCTAGACCCTTTTATAGGAAATAAAGTACCTACTGTACTTTGCGTATATGTCACATATTTACAAAAAAATTAGAGAAAGCTTGGAGCATTAATAAGAATACTTGTATGTTATAAACTGTGAAATAATTATCCTTTTCTTTCTTGTTTCAGGTATAAAATTTGGCGACTTCACTTTTCTGAGAAACGATTGGATTTGATAGATCAAAGATGACAACCGACAACTGGTTTCAAACCTGGCACCCTCCTGCCAATATCATCCCTCAGGAAAATTCGTTGTACGTTGCACCCAACGTAATCAACTTTAATCTTACCCACGATGGACATCATAGTAAGTTGATAATTTCATTTCCACCGTAATACAACAAAGAAATTAGGAAATAAAAAGAAATTAGGATTAGGAAATTTAAAAAAAATCCTGATATACAAGGTGTTAATGAAATAAGTACTTTGAGAGTGTGTAAAACATGTCAAAATTGCAGCCCTTAAGGGAGATACGGCTCTTTGAAAGGGTTACTCAGGAAACAGTTTTTATTACATAACTTCGAAACGTTTTAATATTAAATCACGAAATTTTGGGGTTGTCTTAGTATTTGTATGCTTAATAATCGGTATAATATACAAATCAGAATTTGCTATAGGGACGCAAGAAAAATGCGGGATCATACGACAAATTTTATAATAATATTTTTGTACGCATTTTTTTCTAGTTCCTGAACCGAATATATGAAAATTTATTATATTTTGCATAAAAAAAGATACTCTTGTTAGATTTTAATAGCATGAGCCGTTTTCTAATAAAATCCATTTCAATAATTCATTACTTGCTCAAAAGTTCCTGCTGCAAAATAAATATATCAAATTGTGCCATTAAAAAGTTACTATTTGTGACACTTAACAGAGGTGTCATGTATATATCAATTACTGATTAGATTACCTACTTAAAATTCCAACTTGAGTTTGAATGAGATAGGTGATCCGCGCGGATTCCTCTGTGTCTACCTAAATTCAAATTTCTCGGTTCCTGATTGCTACATTTCGTACACCGATTAACACATCCACACTCCTCAAACTTATGAAAAATATTCAAAACAGTTCTAGCAGTAAAATCCTTCCGAAGTCAGTTGAAAACGTCTGGTAATAAAATTTAATGAGTTTCATAGGCGTTCCTAAAAAAATTTTCTGTTAAAGGGAAAAAGATTATAATAATTTGTATATAATGTGTAGAAAATTTCTATTATATGTTCATTTGGCCAACAACATATTTTAATTATTTATGTTCTCAAACAATTTTATTATATTGGTGGTAAATTTTGTTTTGTTCCGTTTCAAAAGGTCTCCAAAATGCCATGTTGTGATAATATTAGTAAACAAAATATCCCTCTTATTTCTCCCTTTCGCAATTGTAATATAAATGATTGATAGAAGGTGCCTATAATAAATTAAAATTGTCTGATTCACACCAAATTCCGCACTACTGCACTGCATTTCTGGGCAATATATGAACCACTTGTCGCCTGCTGTGATTAATTGCATAGAAGCCCAATACAACTGTGCTCATTTTCCTTTGGCCGCGCTCGCATTCTTCAACTGGTCGTATACATTTCTACCACCTGCACGTTTAGTTCGGCCAGACCTACACAGCGTGTCCCACTAGTGCGGGAAAGTCCAATATCTATGTTAAAATGAGGAATATATGGATTTTTCTTTTTATTGTGTTGCCACATTTCTCAGAATGTACAAATTAAAAATATATTCAACTATACAGGTTCTCCACTTTTCCTGTCCATACACCAACTTTGGTTTTTTAAATGGAAACACACATTTTTTATATTTTTTTTCGGATTCTACATAAAAAATATAGGGGATAATAGTTCTATTCAAATATTCACAGTTTTTGAGATATCTCGATATAAGGTTTTTCTAGTCGATATTGGCTGCTTACATTTTCTGATACTGACAGGTTGTACTAATAGCTACTAAGCCCATTTTTTTATCAGATGTTTAGTAAGGATGACTCTTCCGAATCATGTTCCAAAAACTGGCCCGCGTTATACAGGGTGACCAAAAATTATGTCAAAATTGCCAATTGAAAAATTGAAAAAACTCGAATTTTTTCAATGCAACCCCCTGTATATTTTAATACCATGAGATGCAGAATTAAATTCTCTACAACTTTGCTATACCTAAATTAATTAGTTTTTCATGAAATCTCATTTCTATGAAAAAATGCGAAGTTTACAAACAGCTTTATGTAAAATAACGCAGTAGGCTCCTGTCAATGGATAATCTGGAAAAATCTCGAATTTTTTAAATGCAACCCCCTGTATATTTTCATACCATGAGATGCAGAATTAAATTCTCTATAACTTTGCTATACCTGCTCCTATACCAAAATTCATTAGTTTTTCATGAAATCTCATTTCTAAAGAAGAATTAGTAATAAAAAAAAATAGAATAATTAGTAAAACTCATGATAACTGTTTATTGACAAGTATTTACCAAACCAATAATCCAGATTTACAAAGATATCCTCGTACAAAGTGTTTTGTAAAACTGAAGGAGAGGTTTGAAAAAACAACAAATGCAAATTGAGAAGACAAGAACACCCGCATGCAGTATCCAAAGCAGTAAATTAACATCGTGCATTTCTGACAAAAGTAATAAAGACCTAGTTAAATTAGTAATTAACAGGTAACCGCTCAAAATGTCTGCCATTTTTCTCTAGACATTGAGAAATTCTACGACGAAAATTGCTTGACACATTTCGCAGTATTTCCGGAGTTACGGTCAAAAAAGCATTTCTTATCTTTGCCCGTAAATCTTCTACATCTGTCGGAGGAGTTTCATCGTCTTTTATATAGCCCCATAAAAAAAATCAAGACAAGACAGGTCTGGGGATCGGGGAGGCCATGGATTTGGACCGCCTCTACTTATCCACTTATCTGGATACAAACCATTTAAGTATTCTCTAACCTGAAACAGTTTTTTTATGAATTTACATAACATAATGAGAAAACCAGTGTGGAATGTGCAGGGGCACCATCATGTTGGAACCACTGACTGTTTAAGTCATCCGGAGGAATATGTCCCTGCAATTGGAGCAAGTTGTTTTGTAAAAATTGCAAATACCCATTACCAGTTAAGTTTCCTTCAAGAAAATGTGGTCCAATCCACTGACATATTCTCCGCATATTCCCGCCCAAACGTTGACTTTAAAGCGGTGTTGATGATCGTCTTGTCTTATTATTCTGGGATTATGATAATTATGTCGATTCTCTCGACCAGTATTGCAAAGGATGACTCGTCAGTAAATAACACCTTAGAAAAAAAATTCATCTTGTAGCTTTATAGTTGCCCACTCACAAAACTACTCGCCTCTGAAAATCTTGCTGTATTAAGAATTGGTGATCCTCAGAATGATAGGGGTGGAAGTTGTTTTTCTTTAACGTTCTATTAACCACACTTTTGGAAATACTAATTTCATCACTAATTTCTCTGACACTTGTAGATGGATTTTGGACTGCACATCCCAAAATGCCAATTTGACAATTCTGATTAATGCATGCCTGTATTCCTGTTGTCTTCTCATAATTTGCATTTGCCGTTCTTTCAAACCTCTCCTTCAGTTTTACAAAACACTTTTTATGAGGATATCTTTGTAAATCTGGATTATTAGCTTGGTAAATACGACTTGCCAATAAACAGTTACCCTGAGCTTCTCCTACAGCATACACCATATTTACTAATTTTTCTTCATTTCACAATAATTACTGTCGCTTTTTTATTAAATCTTATGTGAATCGAAAATTTTCCAGATTATCCTTTGACAGGAGCCTACTGCGTTATTTTACATAAAGCTGTTTGTAAACTTCGCATTTTTTCATAGAAATGAGATTTCATGAAAAACTAATTAATTTAGGTATAGCAAAGTTGTAGAGAATTTAATTCTGCATCTCATGGTATTAAAATATACAGGGGGTTGCATTGAAAAAATTCGAGTTTTTTCAATTTTTCAATTGGCAATTTTGACATGATATTTTGGTCACCCTGTATAACGCAGGCCAGTTTGTGTAGCATGATTCGGAAGAGTCATCCTTACTAAACATCTGTTAAAAAAATGGGCTTAGTAGCTATTAGTATAATCTGTCGGTATCAGAAAATGTAAGCAGCCAATATCGACTAGAAAAACCTTTCAAGCGAGATATCTCAAAACCTGTGAATATTTGAATAGAACTATTCTACACAAAGTACCCTTTATTTTTGATGTGGAATCCGAAAAAAAATATAAAAAATGTGTGTTTCCATTTAAAAAATCAAAGTTGGTGTCTGGCCAGGAAAAGTGGAACACCCTGTATAGTTGAATATATTTTTAATTTGTACATTCCGAGAAATGTGACAACACAGAAAAAAGAAAAATCCATATATTCCTCATTTTAACATAGATATTGGGCTTTCCCGCACTAGTGGGACACGCTGTATATGGGTATTGCTAAATAAGTATGGGAACAAGTTTTCCAAATATTTCAATGCCAAGTTGCTGCCCAGCGACCGAGCCTGGTACATACCTTCAAATTATAGGTTCTTCAATTGACTTCGGAAAAACTTTTTTTTTTAACTGGTTTGTCGGGATATGAAAATATAAATCGACCAACGACTTCCTCTGTACTTTCTGCACGACAATACCATTTAATAATATTCATTTTTTGTTCGACACTGTACACCATTTTTATTTTGTAATATTGCGTAAAGGTTTGAGTGGAATAATAATAAAAATAAACAATCAGCAAAGCGCTTGTTTGCTCCGTTAACAAAAAATGCAACGGGGCACGTGCGCTCCCAAAGCCAACTAATTACGAGAGTCCGAGTCGCAGCCTCGATGATATATGTCATGTCCGACCCCTTCCACCCGAAGTTGATAGGAAAGATGTGTGTAATTTACTTAGTCTATGCGAAAAAATTACCTGGATAGACCGGTATATTCATACTGCAATCATGACTTTATGTAGAAATAGACTTGATAGCCTACAAGTCTGTCAGCCACCATAAATGTTTGTAAATAACGTAAATATGATCACAATATTCAAAGTGCATCTCATATTAACCCCTTACAGTACTGTAGAAAAATATATTAATATACCATTCCATTACATTGAAGAAAGAATTTAATTGGGAGAAATAAAAATTGTTAGAGCCTATTAAATCATGTTCCGTAGATTAATTATTTCTTTGGAGTTAATATGGCATTTATGTAAATAAAAATACTAAAATATTTAGTTCTAAAAATAGTTTGAAATCTGAAATTAATTAAATTGTTTTCTGTGCACAATTAAATATTTATTTCTTAAAAAGTTCATTTATGATCAGAATTATTTTTACTACCACTATTGATACATTTCACATTTATTTATTTATTTATTTATTTATTTATTTATTTATTTTTAGTTATTTATTGTTAACAAAGTTCATTTATGATCAGAATTATTTTTACTACCACTATTGATACATTTCACATTTATTTATTTATTTATTTATTTATTTATTTATTTTTAGTTATTTATTTATTGTTAACAAAACTGTTAGGGAAAAATATATATTTTATAGAAATATTTGCATACACCTTAGAAAAAAAAAAGAAAAGTTATGATTAAGACTCGGTTAACTAACGGGACAATTAAATAGAGAGTGTAATTTGAATAAGGCTTTCCAAACCTCATTCGGATAATAAACTATTAATTTCACACCTCACATTATGCATACACAGTAATGGCTGATATTATTCTCCTCTAGATACATGCGCTGTTGACTGTTTGCAATTATGCATTTAATAGTGTAATAATGTTTAGTTAGAAGAATAAATTTATTTTCTAAAAGTAAGTGTTTTTATTTGGAACTACTTCATTCGTTTCAGTCCTTTTTAGTATTAAATTGTTAGTTTGTTACAATAAACATTTTTGTGCATTCCTTGGAGTAGCAAATATGTTCCTTTTTGTAAAAAACAAATATTTAGAAATTAATAAAATCCAATTTTCACAATTACCTATATGTATTAATGACATATTCTCATCTTAACAAAATTTTTTGGAAGTAATTAATGACATATACCTACTAAATATAATATATATATATANTATATATATACTAAATAAATTAGTTACAATTTGATTCAATCCGAATTCATTTACACAATTGAATTAAATAAATAAATATATTCATCTTTTAGACCCGCGATGGTAATTCCGGATTTTGAGACAAGGATAACATTGCACAGACTATAAATTTGACGGTGTCATAATTTTACTTTTTCACAGATCAATGAAAAAAAGTAATTAACTATTAATTTATATTAGAAATTCAGTTATCTAGAACGGAATTTGCAGAACGTTTTATATTACTCCGACATTAACAATTTATTGACAATCAATTTTATTTCTGCGAGTAATGTTATGAAATTGTTAAGATTACAAATATAAAAAGTTTATTGTTTTATTGTTGTGCACAATATAACAGTACCTACATGTATGTAAAACATAACTTTTTCGAATGTTTTACTTACTCTTGCGAAAAGTAAATTGTTTATATATATTTTAATTTGTCATTATGTCAATACCAACAGCTGCTTATCAGGTGCCACTTCGCCGCCATATGCTTTCAAAATATTAAACTGATAATTATTACTTTATCAATATGCGATTAACTAACTAAGTCAGTTAACTGGTGTCAAAAGCACATTTTTAAAGGCAATTTATACACTAGTGCATAAAGTAGATTGTTTGTAATTTGCACTTTTCCGTAGTTAAAAATGTATTGTATGGAACTCTGTCTAAAACTGTTTCTCACTCGTGAAAACGTTACACCACGCTTATTATACATAACTATTACATATCTTCAATTATTATTATGTATTATGAGTGTGAGTAAAAGAATCTACATATTATCTTCTGAATATTTAAAATTGTAGTTTTGACCAAAAAAAAAACATCAAATTGCGGTGAATTATAATTTTCATTGTTATATTTGTTTGTTATTACTTGAACTTATTTTGTATTGTAATAGGTTCAACAATAACATATTTATATTTAAAAACATGTTTGTACATCTCTTATACGCCTGAAGATGGCGTAAAGCAATATCGAAACGTTGACAATGAATGAAGAATTGTGTTTTTTTAATTTATCTTGATCTTTATCTCACCAAAACTATTGATACTGATTAACTGTTATTAACAAAATAGAACTGGATAATAAAGAATTCTACTAGGAAACTTCCTAGCTGAAAATATGTAAACACATTGTTTTTCTAAATTCCTATACATATATGCCACAGATAATGTGATTACTTGAATTTTATTATTATTTCAAAAATAATATATCATGATATAGCCCTTTAAGCAACAATTACCTACTTCTACCAAACATTCTACCAATATGCAGAAGGAGAACATTTTTGTTAATCGTTTATTGCTCGATCATAATAGTTAGTTCAGTCCTAATAAGTGGGAAGAAAAAAAATGCTAGTGAAAATTAAAGCTATTTCCAGTAAGTAAAAAAAAAAAACATATGTTAATGAACAATCAAAATCTAAAATTGATTAAGTCATTTTCTTGTAATTTAAAAACTAGTTCGAAAACGAAACGTATCCAAACATATGTTTACAAGAACTGTTAATTTGTACAGGGTGATTTTTAATCTATACACATAAGTGGAGGAATACATATAAAAATATGAAAAAAATCAAATCAACGTGAGCTATGGTTTTTGTTTTATGTGTAGAATCACTTCAGATATATTTAGTAGATAAATTTGTGTTAGTAAAAGCTACTTTTTTGAAGTAGGCATTTATTTTCAATTTTATTCAGGGTATTTAACTTTGAACGAATATTGCAAGGCATAGTGAGGGAATTACTATGACAATGCTGCGAACATGATTAACAAACATTAATGGGCATTTAATATCATATCTGAATTGATTGAAGGATTTGCGGGTTAGTTGCTATCTTGTCAGGCTTCTTGACCTTTCGAGAATTATGCTTCTTCGGAAGCAACTCTTAAACAGGAGATTAAGTCTTCTAACTAGTATATGCTGTGTGAACCGGTTCATGAATCACTACCAAATTCAAGATAAATCTAAACCCTCATTATTACTGAAATTGTCTCGATTTTTCAGAATTTCTATTGCCTCCCTGTAAATTTTTAGCTATTTGATATCTATCTTATTTTCCACTAGTGTTTATTGAAATAATCAAGAGCTTTATTCAGAATTAAAACCACTAGATGCAAAATAGACGTTGCTATACATAATTTGCAGCTGCGGCTTTTTTTCATGTTCTAGAACATGGCTCAAACAAGGTGTGCTTATTTCGAGATTTATTTCTATATAGAGAGACGTAAAATAATCTTATCCTGAATAACGCTCTTATAAATAAATAAATAAATAAGTTATCTACACACAAACCCTTTTGCATATTATATTGATGACCAATTTTGTTTTTAGGAAACCGATTAAGTCGCCCTGATAATATTCTGCCATACTTGCTATCACTGACTATGGTAAAATCAGACAGAGGGCAGCGGTATAGAGGACCGAAGTATGGAGACAGATTGCCACCGATGGAGAGAACCGGACCATTCTACACTTGGTACCAGTGGAGTGTGATAGACTTCGTTTACCCATCTGACATGGAACGTGAAGAGGCAATCCTCTTTGAAGACTTTATACCAAAGAATAATCTCCCCTTAGGTAGGTAATTGATTCATCTAACTAGATATTTATTAATCCAAGGTGTATCCAAGAACGTTCAGATAATAAATGGTGATTATTTTAAGGGAACAAAAATTCCATTGAACTTCATACGGACAAATCATTAGGACCAAGTAGATTAGGTAAAGTTTTTGTACATTGTCACAGGTATGCATATGCCCCGAAAAATTTTTGAAATAGGTCAATAAAACTTGAATAGATCCCTTAACTAAATGGAGATGAAACTCTACTAAAAACCTAAAAAATTAAAAACTTCAAAGGATGCCACGCCTTTGAGTGCTTTGGCAATTCGTTTTCATCTTGTGAGTCAAAAAAATGTATTAGCTAACTTTTCTATTTAAACAAATAAGTGAGGAAACAGTTTTTTCACTTTGCAGAGAAAACCATCAATTTTAGCGAAAAGTGACTCCCAGACAGCTTGTAGGGAGTAAAATTATCTACAAAATGAGACTTGTTAAATTAAAATCGGTTAATAAACAAAAAAAGTTATTGTAAAAAAAACAAGAAAACTGTCCATTATTTAATTTGTTTATAACTATCGCATTTATTGTTAAAATTTTATAAAACCTATGACAAGTTGAGGGTTTTGTCATACTTTAAAAGTGTGCCAAAAGTGGGCGCTGTAGGTGCAATAGTTTTCGCACAATTCTATTTGTTTATAACAGAGGCTCCAAAAGTTATGAACTTTAAGCCTCTGTACAGGCGTTAATTTTAAAGACGTAATTAAGCGACCTATTAAAAAATATCACCGTTTTTTTTGACATTAACATTTTCAAATTGTGCAAAAACCGTTTGAATAAAATTGTTGCTATTTATGCTACCTCACCGAAAATAATCAATGTCAATGGATAGCTGGCAATAAAATACAAATTTAAAAAAAAAGCACCCTCTACGACCAACAGGAGCTAAGATAAGAATTTTTTTTAAAAATCGTAGCGCAATTGTTTATAAAATATTAAGAAAAATAAAGTTTACGACGTAAACTACGATTTCCCATGAATTGCATTGAAAAATGTGGAAAATTAACGACTCACGAGCCTTTTAAAAAGAAGGTACTCCCTAAATATACTGTTCGGCGGCCGGCGGCGTGGTGGTGGGGGAAACTCGTCCAAGCGAGTCGCGCGCGCGAGAAAAGTTAATTCCAAAGTTCAAATTGATGCGCGCTGTAAATTTTGCAATATATCGGCTTCTATTCATAGTAGAAACATTTTTTTTAACTGGGGTAGCTTTTTTTCTATTTTTATGAGAAATAATAATTTGAAAATAATTTATGAATTTTTACTTTAATTTTACATTTAAATCGTATTTAAATAGCTAAAAAAATATTGAAAAAACAAGTTTACTTTGTCTTAATATGTAAAAAAATAACTTTTTAAACGAACGATAGCTTCATTTCACTTCATTCAACTAGAAGAACCGTAATAGTCGATGCACAACGGACTGTCGGAAATATTATACGATCATAACTTAAGATGGTTTTTACTCGTTGAAAACGGAAACATGATCATTATGAAAATGAATAATTCTGTTAAAAAACAGATGTTATATACAGATTCGGATATTGGTCTTTATATACTACACAAATGGAACATAAAGTCTATGACACATAATAATATATAAGTAATTCATTATAACCTTTATTTCATATATGTACCTGTATTAAGCGCTCTCCAGTTAAACTCATTGAATAATGAGTATGGACGTGAGTGTTTTTTTAAATAAAAATTGCATATTTGTTATAAAAGTTTTACTATGCACTATATACATTATTAAACACTAGATTCAAAACTATTTTCAAATTTCAAATTATATTCATTTATGACGATTTATCATTAAATACTTTAGCTACACCCTCGATATTTAAGCTATGTCTAAAAACTAGACAAATATATTATGTTTTGATGTCACCCGTTCTAAATATAGTAGAGTAATTAAATAAATTTAGTGGAATTTCGCTTTGGAAAATGAATAATAAAGCTTGTATGAATGCTATTATTGTCAACACGGACCATGTAAATACAAGTGTTATTTTAAGTTCTCATTTCAGACTCATTAATTATTCTGATCATTCATAAAACTTACTACTAACGAAATGGTATGTACTCCGAACAACTCTTATAATTAGATTTATTCACATTCATATATTTGTTCGTGGAAAATATGTGCAGATTTCTTTTAGCCAATACTACACTACAACAAATAAGCAGATGATTTTGGATGTGAATGTACCCGTTACAAATGTATCTCGCAGAATCACATTCGCAGACGGTATCAAAATAAATGGCATACTGCCTAAAACGCGCAACCGGCAATCTTTAATTGGTGCCTTTTTTATTTAACCTCACGATTGTTTCAGCCATCTTGTTTCACATCTGATCTCTCACCTTGTTTCCAACAAGAAAGCCGTACAAATTAACTGTATTAACATTTTTGGAAGTAATTTGTTATGTAGTCATCGATAAATTCTCATTATGAGTGTATTTTATACTGTTGTGTAATTATAACACCGAGACATAAAAAGAAAAAAGTGGTATGTACCTTTGATTTCACTCAATAGGCTTCATGTATTTTGACGTGCTTCATCCGAATCTGTAGTCTGTTTAGCCCCAAAATTTTGAGTAATTGCCAAAGAATAGTGAAAAATCGCCGGAAAACCATGCAGGTTACTGAGCGCAAAAAAATCGAAAAAATTTGTTCTGACCTCGGTCAAGTGTGTTTCTTATGTATTTTAATGCTCTGAATTCGAGACTGCGGTCGATTAGCTGTATCTTCCCACATATTTTGCAAAAAAATAGCTGAAAATGGCAAATCATATTAATGAAGGTGAGAAAATTTAGAAAACGGTTTTCTAGAATGGACGAAGTGTTCTCATAAATTTTGTCGAGTCGAATTTAAATCTAAAGTCTGTTGAGCCTCATTACCCAAAAATTTTGCAAAAATCGCAAAATATCGCAAAAAATAGAAATCGTAAATGCCAAAAAATCATAAATGTCATGGATATGAATTACTTTCCAAATAAATTCGACTGACTAGAACCAGGCTTTCTTTGATGTTGCTCTTACACTTTTCTTCTCTTGTAGTGACCTATGCAGCGGGTATCTCGGGTGATAGTAGAATTTTTGTATCAATGGTCTATGACGTTCTTCGACCCTATATGAAACTCCGTTCTCGTTGGCCACTCATTCTGAACGTGATGATTTTTCCTATCCTTGCTGTCCCATAAATAGAAAAAGGAAGGGATATTTTGTGAACCCTGATTGCTGGCCCAGGATCATGGTTGAAAATTTTTGATTACCGCATGCGTTCCATTGATGTTCTGAGTAGTTTATTTTCTCCAACACTATCTCAAATTCTCCTAAGTCGAATTCGAATTTAATAATAGGAAAATAATTCCGAAATTGAAATTTTAATTAATATTTCGTTTAACAATAATTTTCGTGACATTTTCGTAAATTTAAAAAAAAATAAGTATAAAAGATGCATTTTTTCTGGGGTTCAGTGCTATTCTACGAATTCGTAAATATGCCCATTGTTATTTTTTCGTCGAGCTACCCCTGTTTAAAAAAAAAGAAGTTTCTACGATGAATAGAAGCCGAGATATTGCAAAATTTTACAGCGCGCATCAACGTAAACTTTATTTTGCGAAAAATTCAAGTCTTAATGTTTATAAACAATTGCGCTACGCTTTTAAAAAAAATTATTATCTTGGTTCCTGTTGGTCGTAGGGGTACTTTTTTTAAACTGTATTTATTTGCCAGCTATCCATTGCATCTATTTTCGATGAGGTAGCATAAATAGCAACAATTTTATTCAAATTGTTTATAAGCGAAAAACGCACGATTTTTTAATGCACAATTTGAGAATGTTAATGTCAAAAAAACGGTGATATTTTTTAATAGGTAGCTTAATTACATCTTTAAGATTACAATGACGCTTTCAGAATCATGTTTGGTTGAAATTTAACGCCTGTACAGAGGCTTCAAGTTCATAACTTTTGGAGCCTCCGTTATAAACAAATAGAATTGTGCGAAAACTATTGCACCTACAGCGCTCACTTTTGGCACACTTTTAAAGTATGACAAAATCCTCAACTTGTCATAGATTTTATAAAATTTTAATAAATGCGGTAGTTATAAACAAATTAAAAAATGGGCACTCTTCTTGTTTTTTGCAATAACTTTTTTGTTTATTAACCGATTTTAATTTAATAAGTCTCATTTGGTAGATAATTTTACTCCCTATAAGCTGACTGTGAGTAACTTTTCGCTAAAATTGATGGTTTTCCCTGCAAAGTAATAAAAACTATTTTCCTCACTTATTTGTTTAAATAGAAAAGTTAGCTAATAAAAGTTTTTGACTCACGAGATGAAAGATGTCTTGTATTATGTTCTTTTAGACAACTTTATTTGCTTGGCCTAAGACAACAGACGATCTTTTCATTTCAATTTAAAAATGAAATGTTTGAATGAATTTTCAAATTACCTACTTTTTTTGTTCTAAAATATACAGGGTGATTCCTGAGGAATGGAAAGTATTGCAGTAGTAGACTCAGGGGGTTAAAATAAAAAAAATAAACCCATAAATTATAGTCCAACTGTCAACTATTGTTGAAATAATTAAATATTTATTTAGCAAACATTTTAAAGGATGTTCCTGTAAATGTTCGCCAACGGTTATGTTATACTTCCAACATGACGGAGAACCTTTCCATTTTACTTTTACTAAATTTTTTAAACAATTATTTTCCTCAACACGGGATTGGGAGAGATAAGTGCATTGAAGTTGGTGATGGTATTTTTGAAAATGTTCTTTAATTATTATTTACCATTTATGAAATTCCTATTTCTTAGTTTTCCTTGATAAAATAAAAATCAATATTTTATCAATATTTTACTACATTTAATTCAACAATGGTGGGTTTATTTTTCTTATTTTGATCCCCTGAATCTACCCCTGTAATACGGAATCACCTACACTTT